ATTGAAACCATTAAATTTCTCATTCTTCTTTGAACTCCACCTCCACTGTGCCTCTCACGTGCAAGGCTCGCCACGTTGATGAAGTTGAGCGCGAGCTGCCCCAGGAGACGAGAGAAGGCTTAGGGTCGAAGCAAGGGTCCGTAATCTAGAGACTGCGAGAGAGGCAGCAGCGGCAACTGAACGAGCATTGGCAATAGCAGCAGCTAGCGCGGTAGCAATGGCTACCTCTTCAGCCACCTCTGCTGCGAACTCTACTGGTCAGAGCTTGGGTATGCCACTCAACGCGACCAGTTCACAGTCCATCTTCGGTACGTCAAGAGCTCGCACTAGTCAGATGGCGGGTTCGTAGTTCAGCTCCCCGCCTCCACGCACGAGGGAGCAGATGGAGCTCCAGCAGATGGAAAGGATTCGTTTGAGGCTAGAGGAGGAACTCAAACAAACTACTAAAAAAAAGAAAGAGATTAGAGACAGGAGTGTCAAACTAGAGGGTAGGGAGGCAGACAAGGCTGCACTAGAGGGGTTAGATGACTCGACCCTTAGCAATAATGAAAAGATTCTTAAGGCGAGCATCCTGTCCATGCACGCATACATGGACAGTAAACTAGATACAATCCACGACACCTTAGACCAGATTTTGAACGCCATGCACAGGCTGAGAATCAGGCCAACAGTCTTGCCATCACTTGCATTCTCAGCAATGACAGACCCCTATGGCTGAGAATCAACAGCAACTCTATCTCACACTATTGCTTCTTCATCTTCTGGTCCAGCGACTGGAGCTACACCACATTTGCCCCATGTCCCGCCAGCGAGACAACAATTACCTTGGTACCCCAAGACCCCCCTAAAACCACCTCCAACCTTCTCAGGAGAAAAGAAGGATGAGGCTCTCGACACGTGGTTGAGAACAGTGCCAGTGTGGGTGAGGGCAAAGAGGACATTGGTAGAGGAGGAAGTGATTATTGTTGCATCCTACTTAGAGGGTTCAACAACTCGCTGGCTAAATGAATTGGTAGCTTCAAAGGGGTTTGTCAGGAACATGGGTGATTGGGTGCAGACCCACACCTTGGAAAGCTTTATGGATTTAGTGGAAGCACGATGGCACAACCCTCATCAGGCACAAATTGCCACTGATGGGCTATTAAAGCTTAATGCTAGGAAGTACAAGTCAGTGCGAAAGCTTACCATGACCGTAGAGCGCCTGATCGTTGTCCCAGGAGTGGAGTACAATCCACAGGTCTTATTGACCATGTTCTTGAGATGTCTTCCCATAGACATCAAGAACTTATTGGCCAGCGAGGCTCGGCTAGAGTATCACACGTTTGAGACATTTAGTAAGAAGGCCCTAGATTAAGAGGCTACGCTGGGTGGTGCTCGAACCCCCAATACGGACGGTAGGAAGAAGAAGGCTCCACAAAAGTGGAAGAAAAAGGGTAGTCGATTGATCATGGTTGATTCCAATGGGAATCAAACTGAGATCGATGATGTTTCTGAACTTGTGGAGAGTGCAGGGTTTGACAACGAGGAGAGTGTTGAGGGTAGCAAACCTCGCCGCAGTAGTTAAGACTAAGGCAACGGGGCGGCAAGGGCGATCAGCAAAGGAGTCAAGGGCAGGCCGCTAACCCAAACAAAATAGCTGCTTGGGTTAGAGCAAGCTTGGATCAAGAAGTGTGGCGGGACCGTTGGTCACGTGGTGCTAGCATAAACTGCGGCGAGTACGGACATACACAGTTTAAGTGCAAGAACCCAAAGGTCTTGCAGAACATCCCTCCTAAGGGTGGGTTTCCTTCTTCTCAGTCTGAGGCCTCTACGAGCTCCAACTCGGGAAACACTTAGGGCCGGTAGAAGTTGTAGATGCTTCTACTCTAGTTTAAGCGGGTGATGTACCCTCCCCGTTTCAAGAGTTGGCCGAAGCTATTGACTCTTTAGTCACCCCGCAGGCACATCCGGACCCAATTATGCTTTGTACGTTGGATGTGTAT